TACATCATTACTTATTTTACAATACCCCCTACACCAGGGGTCGGCAAGTAATTTTAGGTGGGGTCCGGATACTTTTGAAAATTTTTAACGAGGTCCAAAAAAAAAATCATATTATTTTTTTATTTTAATTTGGACTCAAATTTAATCTGCTTACTAACCATTAAGAACTCACACACTCACACATTTGTAAAATACTAGAAGAAGAAATTTATTTAAGTAATTTATACTTTCAAAAAATTTTTGGCGGTCCAGTATTTTACTTTCCGCGGTCCGGACCTGGACCGCGGTCCGCCAGTTGTTGACCCTTGCTATAAATCATATTTAATAAAATTCATAAATAAACCTTTATAGTAGTTCTAACAAAACACATACAATAAACACTTGGTTATATTGTTCCTCAATTCCAAACACTCTTACAGTTAAATAAATAAATAGATATCTAACTGTTCATCATATATTTTTAAGTAAATGTATATATATATATATAATTATGAGTAAATAATATGGCGTCACTATTTCCGATTTCCATTACTTTTGGCATAACTGACAATTGATTTTATATAACTATAACTTGGTTGGTGTTGAGAATCTAAAAAAATTCTTCATTGATAAGGAACTTATTGTTACTATAAAAAAAGAATTGCATTATGGAATTGTAAATAGCTATCTTATTGGTTTTTCAAATGAAATGTATCGATTATTAGACATATATTTAATAATCCAATGCAGTTATATATTATGGCTTTATAGCCCTCTCTTTCTTTAATAGTAAGATAAATATAACTAAAATATATGGTTGGGACATAAAAATATTAGGTTTGCTTATTGTGCTTTAAGGTATCAGTACTTAAAAATACTGTATTATTTAATTTTTAACAGGGAATTCAATATTTTTACTCCAATAAGAAATTGGGCAATAAAACATATTTACATTTTTTGATACCTGAAAGTATAACAGATGAAATCTTGACGAAACATAACATTTCCTTGTACTGCCCCTGCATTTTTTGTGAAAAACAAGCTTTCCAACTGTTTGATAATATATGAGATGTTTCATTAAAGAAAAACAAATGGACATCTAAATCTGCATAATGCGATGCTCTTTTGTTCTTCGATAAATTTCTTGCCTAAAATTAGTCAATAAAGCATTTTTTACGTTTTGGATAACTTCAAAAGCAACCAAGTTAAAATCGAATATAATATATTCGCATGATAACTGTGCATACAGGGTGTCTAAGAATAAATGTAAAAATTTTAATAGCATATTTAACTCTTAAAAAGTAAAAACTTTTGTTTAATAAATTTTTGTTCGATATTTTGTACTCATTAAAATAACACCAATGGGCAGTTTATCTTAGAGATTTTCGAAAAACGTTATTAAGACAAAAGTTATTGCTTTTAATGAGCTAAATATGTGGTTTACATTTCTGTACTTATTTCTGAGATACTCTCTATAATAAATGTGTTTATTACACCTTAATATAGCTTGTTAGTTTTACTTATTATAGTAATTCGAAAAGTGATATTTTCCATATAACGAGCGTTCAAATAAAAACGTGGTCGAAGTTGGCTCTGACACATTGGACGTAGGGAGTAGTTTATAGCGACCAACTTAATCTCATTTCTCAACGAGCTGTATAGCAGCTGTCAGTTTCAATAACGTTAATGACTATATAACTTTATTTTAAAGAATAATCGTGATAACAATAACAAACAATTAAAGGAGCTGCGGAAAGTGTCCCCCTCCTTGTTATAACAATAAATTAAAGCAGCTGCTGAAAGTGTCCCCCTCCTTGTTCCAAGCACTTTTCACACCTGTTCCTCAAAGAATTAAAGACATTTTCTAAGATGCTCGGGGTATTGTTAATTTCACGAATCTTGTCTATAAGTCGAGCCTGCAGATGGTTTAAATCAGGAATAGGCAGTTCAAAAATAGTGTTTTTAAGGTAAGGCCACAAAGAGAAATCACACGGCGTAATATCACATGACCTCGGTGGAAATTCATGTTCAGCATTGAGACTTATTAGTCGATTTTGGAAAACTTCCCTCAACATATTCATCGTCTCGCCTGCCGTATGTGCCCTTGCACCATCTTGTTGAAAGTAAAAGGAGCGATAATTTCTTCTCTATACCTTTGCGCAGTAAGAGTACCATTAAAAAAATAGGTCCATAAATCCTCCTTCGATTGAGAGCACACCAAACTACAATTTTTTGAGCGTGTAGAAGGCCCTCGACAAAAAAGTTCTCTGGTTTTTCAGAAGACCACATTCTCATATTCTGTGAGTTTACGTAACCACTTAAATGAAACCAGGCTTCATCAGAAAAAAAGGTGATATTATGAAGTTCACCGTAGTTGTTTAAAAACCATTCACAAAATACAGCCCGTCGCGGAAAATCAACTTCATGAAGTTCTTGCTGACAAGTTAAACGATAGGAGAACAAACGCAAATCTTTTTTTAACACTGTCTGGCAGGTACCGACTGATACTCCCACCATTTGTGATAAAACACGTACAGAAGTTCTTGGCGCATTTTCCATTATTTGTTGGACATTTTCTTTTAATTCTTCAGTCCGCTTTTTAGGTCGGCCACTTCCTTCTTTTCTTGTTACACTGCCCGTTTCACGAAAAACAACACAACGCTGAACTGCACTTTGAAAAATTTTGTACTCAACAACGCCGGGAAATTGATTTTGAAATTCTATGAAACTTTCCTCAATAGAATACTTCCATATTCCATCAATCTTGCGTCCATTTCTAAAGTAGGACTCTATGATAAACACTTTTTGTTCTTGAGAAAACACCATTTTAAACGCTTTTTAAAACGAAAATATTCAAATTGATAGCGGCGATATAGCGCTTTGACAGATGACGTTTAAGTTCATTTGCTATACGCTACGCCCTACATCCAAATTTTCAGAACCAACTTGACCACGTTTTTATTTGAACGCTCGTTATTAAATTATTACTATAATTTGCTCTAATATTAACATATAAAATATTTAAGCAATCATTGTACGCAATTTTTTCATGATATACTTTTAAAATATATATTAGATTTTTGATATCAATTAAAATGTTTGTAAAAAGTCTTGTTTTTATGTAATTACCTAAACCTATTAATTTTTTTAGCTGGAATGTTACCCAAAAATACATATAACAAGAGATTTGTTACATCCGGTTACGTCAAGAGATGAAGGAAAGGCACTATTTCTACCTGTGAATGTATCCTTCTTAAAACAACTTACACAAATCTATTATGAACAAGGATTTGTTGAAGCTTTACATACAGCTTCAGCACATAATCAAATTATTATTTCTAAAGGAGCTTTGATGGTATTAGATATTTTAAAATATATTAATAAAATAAGAATTTTATTCAACCCTAACATAAAATATAGTGGTACTAATCTTATAAATCAATTTTCTCAAACAAGAAATTGGTTAAGTAATACAATTAGATGTATATCATGGCATCCTCATACAAAAAAAGTGGCTGTAGTTACTTGTGATGACAGTGTTAGAATTTTTAGTGATGATAATGCCATTATGCCATTGTTAAGATATAAGCATCAAAGAAATATTACATGTGTAGCATGGAGGTACATGTCCAATTCAGAAATTGCTGTAGGTCACGAAAATGGAATAACGGTGTGGAATATTGATGCAAATTCATTGGTAATTATTGTATTTTATACACATTATTTTGAATGTTATATATTTTGGGAATACATATTATTGTAATGTTATACACAGTAGGTAGAAGTTATTATTTTAAATAAGTTTTTGTAGCATAGTTTTTTGTTCGTCTTTTGCTCGCAAAGAACGTTTTAAAGAGTATTTTATATTGTACTATGTTCTGTTTCTTGGTAGAGATTTTTGGAAACTTCAAAAAGGTATACTTATTGTATATCTAAAATACTCATACGTAGGGTCTGAAAAAAATTGATTTCCGTTTTTTGTTGTCAGCTAAAGGAGGCATTTTAATTTGTAATCTTCTATAATATATTTGAACACTTTTACTTTTTAACAAGTTTATTGTTCGGCTTCCATAGTTCGTCTCTCTACATTTTTGTTACAAGAATTAACGAGGTTGCCGATTTGTTAATTCAGCAATATTTCATAACGCTAAAACTACAATTAACAACTTATTTTATACTAATGTAAGTAGGTCGGTACAATGTCCCAGCGTATTAAATTATACAGGATGATTTACTTTCTTGTTGAAAGAAAATCTAAGCAAGTTAAAAACAATATATTTTCACTGTATTACAGAAGTTTTCTCCAGTTTACAACTTGACAACACATTCAGAATAAGAAAAAAACCATATTTTTACCTCATGTTTACCATTACGATTCCTGAACTTTACACGCCTATTGAACATACAGAAAATCGCATATGGCACTATAAACTTAATCACATCCTGTAAAATACTATTGACACAAGAATTAATCACAGTTATTAAGTAGTTTCTACAAAATTCCCAACAAAACAGAACAAGTACATTTTCCGATGTTTATGTGGGTGGTCATGGATTCATTGATCTTTCACTATGAAAACTTCAGTGAATTCTAGTATTTCAACGTTTCTATAGTTCGGATACTGTCGAAAAGATTGCAACTTTTTTGTTATATTACTGTCTCGCTAAAAGTACAATTTATTGTTTATAAGTTTATAAAACAGCGACTTTCAGCACCGTAAACTATCTGACGTTTGAGGGTATATGTGTTAAGATATAACTCTTGAATGTAGTACTGCGAAGCTACTTGTAGGCTACACTTTCTATAATATCTCAGTAGATGTTCAGGTAAGTCGTCGTAAGTTGTAAAAATATTTAATATGACAGTTTAGCAAAAAGATTAAATATAATTGACTAGAATGACCCCAATTACTCGATTGTTTATAATTAACAACTATAGTAGAAAATTGATAATACTGATATCCATTTTTCTTTGAATCAATGAGTTTTAGCAATATGCGACATTAAATAGGTACAATGTTCTTACATAAAATATGTAATTTTTCTCAAAATTTCTACAGACCAAAAAATATGACAAAAAACAAAGAACTGTTTAATTTGTTCTTAGCTATTAATATTTTGTAAAATATTAAATTATTTCATATTCAACTACCCAAAAAACACTCATAACAAATTTAATTTTGAGTGCTTTAAAATGTAAAGTTATATAGGAGAAAAAAATATTTCTAATATATATATTTGAAAGCTCATAACATTTTAAGAAAGAAAAATTATTCTGAGTTTTCTTAATCTAAATAGTTGATATTCACTTAAGAAAACTACCCTTGTGGAATGTCCCATGTATATGTACTTAACGTAAAATGAAATTCAAACCATTTATTAAAATTGTTAGATTTAATTGAACAGAAAATTTCACTAACACTTAATTTCTGTTCCTTAAAGGTTTCGAGACCATCTATAAGTAATGCAGTTTTTCTAAAATTACCAAATCACAAACCCATTATGAGTATAGCCTGGTCTCCAAAAGGTGATAAGTTAGTTAGTTGTGCTGCTTGTGATAATACAATATATGTTTGGGATGTCGAGTTGAATAAAACAAGTTCTCAAAAGAGACCTGGTAGCTCAGGCAACATATTACTTAAGTGGTCTCAAACAGGAGAAAAATTATTTAGCTGTTCTAATGGACTTGTGTTTCGGTAAGTTCGATTGTATACATATTTTTTTATAACAGAAACCCCATCTATATAATGTTTTAAAAATTTTGTCAAAAATCCATCTATGCAAAGTGGAGTAAGCTTTATTTGAGTAATTTTTCAAGCAATATAAAGAAAAATCTTGTGGTATATATATACACAGGGTGTTCCATCTAAGGAATTCTTTCTGTAACTCTGTAATTGTAAAATTTATGAGAAAATGGTTTTAATAAAAGATGTCTGGAATCGTGGCCATATAAAGAAAATATTTTTAGCTTTACAGGGTGTTCCATTTCGCATGGGCGCTGCATAACTTTGTTATTTTAAATGGAACACCCTGTATATTATTACATTTTTGAATTCTTTGGTTAATATTAGGTAAATTTTATTAAATGTTTAAAATTTACCATTTTCAAGATAATCTGTTGTTTTTGAAAAAAATCACAATTTCAGTTCTCTAAATGAGGCTAGATAGCGTCTAAACCGTAAAGGAGAGAACGCACTAGGCAGTCGCGGTCCCGTCCCGTCGCGGACCGTGCTAGTCGCGATCGCGCGCGGTAGAGTTCCTTCCCATGTTTTCTAATGTATGCAGTCGCACTAGACGTTCGCGGTCCCGTCGCGGTCCCGTCGCGTTCTCTACCGATCTTTTTCAAAAAACAGAACGCATTAGGCGGTCGCGGTCCCGTCCCATCGCGGACCGTGCTAGTCGCGATCGCGAGCGGTGGAGTTCCTTCCCATGCTTTCTAATGTATGCATTCGCACTAGACGTTCGCGAGCTGGCCGCGGTTCCGTCGTGGTCGCATCGCGTTCTCTACCGACCTTTTCCAAAGAATCTCGGGAGCAAGGACGTCGCCAGCCAATGGGCTAGGGGGGCAAGATAAGAGAAATATAAGTTATAAGTAAAAATAGATACAGTGAATTAATTTTTTATAGAAATATTTTTAATAAAACCTTTTTAATACAAAAAAAAAACAAAAATATATAAATATCTAAAAAAATAAAGAAATTCAACGAAAATTAGGTAGAACATAATCTTTTCGGATTTTTTGAAAATTTGTCGTCCACTTTATTAATAAAATCTTCATGGTTGTCAAAAATAAGCTTTCTGTGTATACTCATCATTGCTAGGCCATTGAGACGATTTTGTACCATAGTATAT